GAGAGCACGAACGAATGCCCATGCAAAGACTGCGTATAGCATGCAGCGCTCTCGCATACCTATACACTCTGAATACACATATAGGTATGTAATCTCGTCTGTCGCGAGAGCACGAACGAATGCCCATGCAAAGAGCGCGTATAGTATACATATATTATACAAATACCCGCGGAGTATATCTGTGTAAAATCTCATCTGTCAGATCGGCTGAAAATGCTCACCCAAAAAGTGCCTAACGCGCCATAAGAAGTTTTCACTTCAAAAATAATAGTAAATAATTGAGTTATTAACAAACATGCATTACAAAAATAATTATTAATTTAGTTGTGTGGACTGCGTAACGCATTTCAAAATATGTCATTCCGTCACTATTTATTGACAGAATATAATGAAATGGCGCACTATTGCGCACAATAAATTTTCATGCATAAGGGTTTTAGAAAGTTCCGGTATAAATCATTAAAAAACGAATAATACATAATTGAGTTATTAACAAACATGCATGACAAAAATAATTCTCAATTTAGTTGTGTGGACTGCGTAACACAATTCAAAATATGTCATTCCGTCACTATTTATTGACAGAATATAATGAAATGCCGCACTGTTGTACACAATAAATTTTTATGTATAAGGGTTTTAAAAAGTTCCGGTATAAAACATTAAAAAATGAATAATACATAATTAAGTTATTAACAAACAAGCATGACAAAAATAATTCTCAATTTAGTTGTGTGAACTGCGTAACACATTTCAAAATATGTCATTCCGTCACTATTTATTGACAGAACATAATGAAATGCCGCACTGTTGTACACAATAAATTTTTATGTATAAGGGTTTTAAAAAGTTCCGGTATAAAACATTAAAAAATGAATAATACATAATTAAGTTATTAACAAACAATGCATGACAAAAATAATTCTCAACTTAGTTGTGTGGACTGCGTAACACAATTCAAAATATGTCATTCCGTCACTATTTATTGACAGAATATAATGAAATGCCGCACTCTTGCGCACAATAAGTTTCACATAAATAAGGGTTTTAAAAAGTTCCGGTATAAAACATTAAAAAATGAATAATACATAATTGAGTTATTAACAAACTTGCATGACAAAAATAATTCCCAATATTATTGTGTGGACTGCGTAACACATTTCAAAATATGTCATTCCGTCACTAATTATTAACAGAATATAATGAAATCGCGCACTCTTGCGCACAATAAGTTTCACATAAATAAGGGTTTTAAAAAGTTTCGGTATAAAACATTAAAAAATGAATAATACATAATTGAGTTATTAACAAACATGCATGACAAAAATAATTCCCAATATTATTGTGTGGACTGCGTAACACATTTCAAAATATGTCATTCCGTCACTAATTATTAACAGAATATAATGAAATGGCGCACTGTTGCGCACAATAAAGTTCACATGTATAAGGGTTATAAACAGTTCCGGTATAAAACATTAAAAAATGAATAATACATAATTGAGTTATTAACAAACATGCATGACAAAAATAATTCTGAATTTAGTTGTGTGGACTGCGTAACACAATTCAAAATATGTCATTCCGTCACTATTTATTGACAGAATATAATGAAATCGCGCACTGTTGCGCACAATAAATTTTCATGTATAAGGGTTTTAAAAAGTTCCGGTATAAAACATTAAAAAATGAATAATACATAATTAAGTTATTAACAAACATGCATGACAAAAATAATTCTCAATTTAGTTGTGTGAATTGCGTAACACATTTCAAAATATGTCATTCCGTCACTATTTATTAACAGAATATAATGAAATGGCGCACTGTTGCGCACAATAAGTTTCACATAAATAAGGGTTTTAAAAAGTTCCGGTATAAAACATTAAAAAATGAATAATAGATAATTGAGTTATTAACAAACATGCATGACAAAAATAATTCTCAACTTAGTTGTGTGGACTGCGTTACACAATTCAAAATATGTCATTCCGTCACTATTTATTGACAGAATATAATGAAATGGCGCACTGTTGCGCACAATAAATTTCACATGTATAAGGGTCTTAAAAAGTTCCGGTATAAAACATTAAAAAATGAATAATACATTGTTATGTTCTTATATATAACAACATATACTTTATTACTTAAAGTATTATAATAATTTACAATTTAATCTTAATAAATATTATGATTACACCACAGCACGTTTACTCTGCTTTGCACGATTCCGACAACAACTACGCATTTTGTCTTTTTTACTTCTTTCTCTATTTCTTTATGCAGTGTTGCCATTATCGAATAT